GTTTTTGTTTGCGATATTTTGTAGTGGTATACCAGTCAGAATCGTTATACTATCAGAAACTTGAAAATTCGATATTTCATGATAGAAAGGCTATGGGCCCAAATCCTTTGGGATTTATTCTAGTCTAGAGATCCCCTATATGTGCCATAAATATGAGCTTAAAAGGAGGGAATCACCTCAAACGGTTCCCTCGTCAGTTAAGCTTTAATCTTTGAACATTCATATTGCAATAAATGGAATATTATTACTCCAATTTATAGGTTGCTTCTCATTTATAGATTTATTTCAAGATTGTAACCAATCATCATCATTCGTCAAATATTTATCAATGATCCATATTAATTCAAGTAAAATCTAATTGTTTGAGGGCGGTGGGTGTGGATGTAAAAAGAGGGCAACACCCATAATCACATTTCCATACTCACTCACGCACCCCTCTGACAGTAGCTTCTAACCTTATACTGCGTGAATTACTTACTTGTACAGAAAATATCAACTAACATGATCATTGATATATGTGATCAAGGAAAAGTTAAAGACTTAACAAATGCATCGTTGTATTCGATCTGATTCGTATAATATTTATGCAATCTTTTCAAAGCAAGTGATAAGCTCAACTATTGATAATTGAGATCAATGATAATTCAGAAGTGACTTTTTCAGAATAAAATTATTTAACTCACAATGAAGTATAATCCTTTCAGAAAAGGATCAGCGAATCCATAGGATGAGCGCTACTTGTTGTATATAAAAGCTTTTAGACGTATTCTTGAAATAGATTTTTTTAAAACATTATTATGTTTTTTAATATCGGATAAGACTACAGAGCATCATTTTATGCGTTTGATTTACCTGCTTAAGAATACATAAGATTATTCATGCGAATGTCTTGCATGTAGAAAAAGTGTCTGATAATATTGTACTTTTATACGTTTCACTAGTTATATATATGTTCAAAGAATGAATTTGCGAGAGACAGACGAACTACTGTATATGAACAATCATTAAAGGAATATAGGATCGGTCAACTAATACATATCATTAGTTCGAAACTGAACCTGCTATAATAGAACAAATATATTATGGAACCGTTGATGTACCTGTGTAAATGATACGTGAACATACAATAGAAACACTATTTTGAATAAAAACCAATTTGATCGTTTTCTCCTTAGAATGATTAGAAAAAAACGTCTGGATTATTTGAGATTTCTAACATTGCCATTCGTAGTATTTATAATCGTCAATTTACTCTTCATAGATGCGAAATATTGAATTTTGAATGACGAAACCAATAGTATTAAATTGTCTTTTGAACTAGCTTTTGTTTGGTCAATTTCATGTTCATTATCAGATCAAGTGCAAGAGCTACTAATGAAAATGATGTGCACAAGCTAAGAAAAATGAAAGAAAACATATGGAATCAATTATATATGGCAACGAGGAAATAAAAAGGAAGTGCAGTATATACAATAGGAAGAGAAACAAAGTCAAGCATGATAATAACTGTTTCTATATATACATACTAATACTGATTTATTTATTTGATAAGCGTCATTTGTTTTCACACATTTCTAGATATATTCCTTCATTAATCTACAATATCTGTTAAATATTGACTGACTATGACGGAAAATTCAATTGTTGAGCTTAATCAAGATGTTGGCTGTTATCTACTAAGGTTTATCGATGGAATAGACGCGGTTAATTTTATTGAAGCAGTGAATAATAGTAGACAGTTCTGTTCAATCGGAAAAACATCAAATCATCACTTTACTGAGATGATCAAAGTGTTCTGCGGTCATCATAGGATTCTACTAGCACGTGCACCATTTGAGGACTTCACAAATGAATATGAAATCGATGATAAACAACTCGTCGCAGTCTCAAAGCACTATACCGATGTCATCGAACCATCTAAACGTCTATATATTCATCCTTGCTTTAGTACTGAAGGATTCTCCAAGTTGTGCGAACTCTATAACACCTCCATGTTTAGCTGCTATTCTCGGCTCTTACCATTGAACACTGTTTGTTGCAACTATTATGCAGATTTTGGACTTCTTGATTTTGAATCCTATGGTCACACAATCCGATCGAAGCGCATGTTAAACGACCACGAAAAAAATTTGTTCAAAAGTAAAGAGCAGAGAATAAAAATTATAGTACCTAAAAGTCGACATGTATGGTTCATTTTAGTTAACACGTATTTTAATAAGAGTGAAGGTCGAAACTGTTGGTCGAATTTGAAATTTGTGCGTACACTAGAAGAGTTTAAGCAGAATCTGGCCACTCGTTTTTTATCTGATTCATGGCTAAGAGCAATGGATTTCTCAAAATGGGCGGTTGTCGGAGGATGTGTTCTGAATGCCTTATGTCGATCACCGTTTTCAGATACCCAGCAGCAAGATATCAATTTAGTGTACTATGTGAATGATATACTAGGTTTTAAGAAATCAATAGATGTTACTGTAAATAATCTTAATAAAATTCTTTCACAAGATTCAAGGAACGAAATCAAAGTGGAAAAAATACCAGGAACACCTGATTACAATGTGTTTCTACCTTGTCAAGTTACGCTTAACTTTGCTTGGGCAAATGTAGGAAATTCAAAAAATCCGCTTTCTCATATTCTTCACAACTTTGATATGGATATTTGTCAAGTAGCCTTCACCGGTAAATCTATATATCTTTTAATCGCTTTTTCATTACATGTATCATATTTTTAGGGGATAAAGTCGTTTCAACATTTCCATTCTTACAAGCACTTGCAACAAAATCGTTTATTGTTTACAGTCTTCATGCTCGTAGTTCAAAGCATGTATGCACACGTATAGCAAAATATTGCCACCGAGGATTCAATCTTTTAGTAACCATTGATTTTGATGGTGATTTTGATACATTGATGGCACAAGAAGAAATTCCTTTGTATCGAGTTGAACATGTGCAATATATTGGCGATGACGATGAAATTCAACTTGCTACAAAAGAATTTCGTCGATCATTTGTAGATAATATTGATACTTATCGACTTCAAGAGAAATTCATGCATATGGTTTGTCCGCAATTATTGCACTATACTTAACTCTCGGTTACCGTCCTCATTTTATAACTTCAACAGTGCCCTGGGGTCCGCGTGGACCCACCCCATAAAATTACAAAAAAATGAGGGTTTTGCTTTACGTAAGGTATCTATTTATATACTATAAATTTCCAAATACTCTTCTCCCTAGAGGCTTATTTATTGCTTCTTATAGAGGCAATATGAGAACGCACGATGCGAAGAAAAGGATTGACTCATACTAGTTTCATGACAGAATAGAAGTGCAAGTAAAAAATCATACATCCAATGCATTCAGTCTGCGGTACAAATACTCTATGTTAGCACATACAGTTGTCTATGAATAAGAAAAAGAGATATTAGTTGTTATGATGTTTATTTTTATCTTCTTCTTTTGTATATGATCAACAAAGTTTAAAACAGAAATGTCTCTACTATGTGGATCAAGTTGTCATTATTTGATAGTTTTCGAGAAATTTTTAATTCTTCTTTTCACATGTTCGACAAGTTACTACTGTAATGCTGTTGGAATGCGAAAGACAAACATTTTGTCCAAAGTTATCACAGATTTGTCGAACTTTTCGTCCAGGTTTTGCAGGACACAAGTAACATCTTCGTTTTATTCGATTTGTATGAGTATTCACATGAAGATCTTTTACGGTTCCCAAAGGAACTTGATATCCAAGAGATAGAAGAGCCAGTTTGACCTTTGGCATCAGTCGAGATTCTTGACTACGACGTTGATTTTGTGGAGCAGTCAAAGCTGTACTCAATTGTGATAAAAATATACGACGAGTATTAGATTTTCTTTGATTCCATTCTGGATATTGAGATAACCATAAAGTCATACTGTTGATTGCAGCTATATCAATCATGTTGTAAAAGACAATTAGCGGCCATCGTCGACTAATTCTTTGAACAGAATATGTTCGAACACATTGATCCATAATGTCCACACCGTATTTCGACTGATTGTAATCGTGAATAAGGCATGGTAATTCTTTGTCATCATCGAAAGTTTCAGCACATTTATGAAGTGAAGATAAAAGTATTATTGGCTTTTTTTTTCTTTTGCTTGATATGAAACAAGCATGTGTGAATTTGAAAAATAAAACCATGATGAAAATAGTTTTTTTCGACAAACTTTAAGTTCATTCGGCAAAAAAACACGTCGATAACCAACTACACCAATAGAAGTCATCTTTCGGTCTAGCAAAGCTTCAGATAATTTGATATCCGTAAAATAACGATCAAATGTAATGGTACGGCCTTGTTTCACATCATTTGATAATTGATCAACTAAATGAAGAACAACATTACTCGCTAGATTTTTTTGGATTATATTATCTTTTTTTCCAGTATATAGATCAATTGATAATACATATCGACTATCCACATCACATAATAGCCAAAACTTTAACCCATATTTAGCCGGTTTATTTGGCATATATTGCACGAAACAGCAACGACCTCGAAAAGCAACTAGCTGTTCATCAATTGTTAAATTTTCACCGGGTACAAAATGTCGAGGAAGTTGTTTGATAAACAGTTCAAATATATATCTGATGGGTGACAAACGATCGGTTTTATCACGATTTTGTCGATCGTCAAATCGAAGAAATTGAAGAAATTGCCTAAAACGTTGAAGAGACATTGTAGCTCAATATAATGGAGAGCTCTGACTAATATCCCATAAATCATTGAGAGATTCATGATTATTTCTATGTAAACCAGCTCGAATTACTAATCCAATAAATGATTCTAATTCAACGCAATCAATCGGTTTCCATTTACTTGACTTGCTTTTTATTGCATTAGAATCTGTTTTTGATCTTTTATTTTGATCAAAATACTGCTCTGCATAACGATTTGTTTCAATAACAACTTCGTCCAGGATTTCATTTGTCAAGAAAAGTTTAAGTGCATCCAAAATCGTTTGAACCTTGGTAACTGGACCTGGTTTTTTTAAATAATATTGACAGCGGGTATTCGACCTTGTGCCGGGTTAGCATGAATTGACCATATAATACCTGCTTTTTCTAATGTTTCTGGTTGATCATCTGTGTAAACATCACATTGATCATCATCATCCGAATTTGATTTATCAGATTCTTCTGATATATGTTCATTTGTAGATGTATCATCTGATTCAACAGGCACAAAATCAGAATCATTATCTGAATCAGAATTTTCACTAGCAACGTGATCATCTTCAATTGTATCGGATAGTAAGAGATCTCTAATTCGTTTTAAGTTTGATCTGTACGTATTATCCATTCTATAAAAAGAGAAAAGTGTACAAATGTACATTTGCAGATTTATTGCGTCTTTAGAGTATTTTGAGAAGCTTATCTGATTGAATCGAACCACCAGAAATAAATTAACACAGAGTTCTAGTTTTTATCAAAAAACCGCGAAAGTTTAACAATCTACAAAGAAAATATGATTCACTATTATGAGAGATGAACGTGCAAACCAATCACAAAGTATTTTATTTGAAAATAAATCGATATGCAACAGATGGCGGGTATAGAAAAGCGAAAAATCATATCGAAACCATCATTGGTGTCCTGGGGTCCACGTGGACCCATATCCGTATTTTTTCTCTCTTAGATCTACTCGTGGTTTTTTATCAGGATATTGTACATCTACCAAAGCCTAGAGATTACAAAAAACAAACGGCTCGAAACAGTAAATAGTTGTGTAGTGCGAGACGAAAACCTGTGAAGTGGGTCCAAGCGGATCCCACAACACTAACCGAGAGTTAAATGATACATCTGAGACATTTACGAGATAGATGATATTGGTGACAGCTTTTATTTCATACTCTGGTTTTTTATTCTCAATAACTGCAAGAATATATTCTCGTTTCTACAGAGCGCAATAGATAAAATGATAGTCAGTTACCTGTCGATAACTATCCTTTAATAATCATTCTGCTAATCATGTGTTCGTTATTCAATTGATTATTGTCTATATGATATGATAGTGAGTTAGGTTAGACTTGCCAAGCTTTGTATTGGTTTCCATATACTAACTATATGTAAGAATATTGATAATTACAGTAGCTTTTATATTTATGAATAAAGATTTTCTGGAATTGTAAACTATGTGTAGAATTTAGACAATATGCATTTATTGTAGATTTTACTAGTATAAACATTTACATCTCCGTTCAAGTTTATTCATTCGAAATGTCTCAATCGTCGAGTAAGTATCATGTTGAATTAATTTTTCACATTTATATTATGTATTCCTTTGTATCATAGATTCAAAAATGAATACGAACATTTTCTCAGACTTATCAACAATTATAGCTGATAAAAAGGTAAGAACTAACCACATCATAAAAAGTTTTATATTTCTATTGATTAACAACAGGCTACTTCGGCTGGTACAGAAAGACGAAAAAAAAGGCCTGCCCCTCTATCACCTGATGATCAAGCAAAGCAACGTATGACTGACGATCATGCATCCGAAGAACGAACTCCGAATGTTACTACAAAATATGTTGGCCAATCAAAGAGCGTCAATGTGATTGAGACAGCTTTGAAAGCTCATGTAAACCTTCAAGTGCTACTTAAACTTGCTAATGAAGAATTGCTTCAAATAGTGATTAAATTCGAAAACGAATATCCTCAATTATCTTCTTCCACGATTTGATAAAATATCAGTTGTTCCATAGACGAAGCGTCATTTTGTTTTTGTACTGTGAATGTAGTGTTGTAGTACTTAAGTTTTCAGGTCATTTCCGTTGTTTTTGTGGGTGTGCATATGGGATAAGCGTTGTGGGTTTTTCTGCATAGATATATGATACCTTTTCTATATACACAGGGCCATCCACACTCACACCCTGAGTCCTAAATTATTTCTTTCCTAAAATTACATAATAGAAGAATAAAATTCACTAAAAAGACTGAAACATTCTGTAAGAAAACTTTTTTTGTAGATTATTATTAAAAATTTAAAACTTATCTCGATACTACTTAGAAAACGAAATGTCACATACATCTAGTAAGTAAAATGCAAGAAGCCTTGTTCTTTGCGGTTATGTCTTGACTTATATCTGATCTGTTTAGAACCAACAGCAGCCATGAATATGAACAAATCTTCAGATTCAAACATCACATCCACCCAAGATAAGGTAGTAAGGATCTATATTCTTATACGATATCCATCCAGTTATTATAATAGGCAACAACTGAATTATCGACACTGAAAATGAAGCGAAGTATTTCTAGCGATATTCAGATGGAAGTAAAAAAGATCATGGTTAACCATGAGCATTCAAACCAGAAGAGTCAATTAATTACTGCTGCACCACCTGCAATTAAATTTGTTAGCGCAGATACGATGGTGACCTTGACACAAACGAGCAACAATGCGATACCGGAAATATCTGATGAAGAATTACTTGAAATGGCTTTGATGCTTGAAAAACAACAAGAATAACAGCCATAAACTATCATCGTTACAAAAAATAGACATACAGCGAACTAAATAAAAATTATCCTTTTTGTGTGTTTTTGTAGTGTAGTTGTTCTATGCATTAGAAAAGCGTTTAATTGGTTGCTGTGTGATTTCACAGATATAGATCCACTGATTGTATATACTATGATTGTAACAACCGAACCGAACTTGTAGAGTGTTGTTTGTGATGCATTCTTCTATCTGTTATTCATCCACATCTCTCTGCACTTTGATCTCTTTCTTCTTCTATTTACACTTTGGAAGTGCACTATCAATTCGTCCTTCACTCGTACATAGTCATGATCTTTTCTATTCGTGCACCTTGGAATGGCATTCTTCGTGTGCCCTTCCCTCACACATCGTGTTATTAGTTGTAACCTTTGAATTTGTCCTTACACCTCATATTGTTTTCACTGTATCTTTCAAGGTCCTTAAATGCCAGGAGATGGTATATAAGGAACGAGAAAAATACAGTGCGGGACGGTTCTTAATATACTAATAAAGTATTCGTTGAATAACTCTTATACAGCATCTGCTACATCAGAAATCGTCACAACTGACGACCCTGGCTATCTAACCAGCTCTTCTATAACAATTCAACATCTATTGCCTTATTGTTCCGGTCTTCATCAACTGCTACACATATGGCTGAACAAAAGGTTCCAATCGACGAAGTTGTTCGTCAAATATCCAATACTCTAACAAAACATGGTGAGGTTATCCAACGTATTCAAGAAACATTAGGCTCTATACAACCACAACTTGATTCTCAAATCACCACAGTTCGTGAAGAAACTCAACAACAATTACGTACCATGGAATCTAACCTGAATGCAACCATCGCTGCTAAAGAAATTACATGGTCTGAAATGACAAACAATATGAAAAACCTCAACAGCGAGCTCATCGAAATAAGAAACATACTTCTCACTAGCCGGGCCAATCGACCCACATCGCCCATTCTTCGGTCCCCAAATATAACACCCTTGTCTACCAACGGTCACAATACACAAGTGAATTTCAACAATAGTCCGTTAGGTACGGAAAATCCTACGAACCAAATGTTACCACCAACTACTAACACAATCGTATTGCCACCAATCTCTTCTTTTCCTACTTTTTCCGAAAAAACAACCGATCGTCCACGACAGTTTTTATTACGGTAGCAGAATACGCTCGAACCGTCAACAACTGGTCTACTGATACTTTGCTTCAAGGTATTTCCCAATTTCTGAAAGATTCCGCTTTAGAATGGTATTGTCAACTTTATATCACAAATACGGTTCCCACCAATTGGGATCAATTCATAACTCGTTTCCTTGCTCAGTTTCATTCTCCGATTCGAGCAGCACAGCAGGAACAAGAATGGTCAGATTGTAAACAACAAAAAAACGAAACCATTAATGAATTTGTTGTTCGTCTACGATCACTTTGGCTTGAACAAAAATCTGACGAAAAAGAATCAGAATTCATTAAACACCTGTTTTGCAAAATGCGACCCGATATTTTGACCCTTATGAACGCCTCTCGCTCAGCCTCCCTTGACGAAATAATTGTCGAAGCTCAACAAGTCGAAGAAATCCTTTATCTCAGAAACAAAGAATTACGTTTACGAAACACACCTCGATCTAAACCAATGTTCACCAGAACTAATACTACACCTCTTATGTCACTATCTACGCCGACTCATCATTCACCACGTAACGCATATCCTGTGTCAACCGCCCAATCTAATCCCACTTGCTGGCGTTGTTATGAAACTGGTCATTATGCATCAAACTGCCCTCTCAACGACGCCAAACGAACCTTCGAATCAAATGACTTCGGTTCACAACCCCTACCCCCTCGTTCAAAAAACACATAAGGAGTTTTCGTGGACCGGGTACACAAAGCGCCTACTTTCACCCGCCGTCAACACACTCGTCCTATATCAACATCATTGACACTTCACCTAACTATCCTCTTACTGTATATGGCCGAATTGGTAACTTACCAGTCACTTTTCTAATCGATACTGGTTCTTCACTTACTCTTATCAACTCTCATGTCCTCCAACGTCTTGATCCACACCTCACGAATTCACGACGCAAACCCCCTCCTTCCTTGTCGTTACGTCTTGCCAATCAATCACCACTCTTCGTCGAATGGGTACTACGACTTCCATTTACCTTTCATAATACCACTCGTTGGCACATCGTTTACGTCGTTCCCGATTTATGGCGTCCATGTATTATTGGTAACAATTTTATCCGAACACATAAGCTTCATATTGATGGTGCTCGACAACAAGTCTATTTTCCAGCTACATCACATTCTTATACCCATTTTTGTCCATCTCCACTTCATCATGTAACAAAATCAACAAGTTTCCCACCCCACAAGTATGTGAAGCGACCATATCCAACAACACCACTGCAGCTTCACAATATCGTGCATACAGACGAATCCCCTCCATGAGAAGTTCCGAACTTTTCAGACTCTATATTATCCCCAGATCAACAAAAATGTCTTTCCAACCTTCTTCAATCATTTTCACAGGTTTTCACCAATAATCCAGGACGAACTAATAAAATTCAACACCACATTGATATACAACCTGGAAGCAAACCCCGTAACTCAGCTCCTTATCGATATGCTCCTGCTCGTCGACAAATAATTGAAGACAAAATTAACGAAATGCTCAATGAAGGAATTATTGTCCCTTCAAAAAGCCCTTGGGCGTCTCCAGTGGTACTCGCACCTAAAAAAGACGGGTCCATTCGCTTCTGCATTGATTATCGCAAGCTCAACGAGATCACTATTCGTGATGCTTACCCAATTTCACGCATTGACGATACACTAGATGCACTACAACATGCTCACTTTGTTTCAACATTAGATTTACGTTCCGGCTATTGGCAAGTCGAAATGGATGCATCAAGTAAAGCACTGACGGCATTCGTCACACACAAAGGACTATTCGAATGTACGGTGATGCCTTTCGAACTTACCAACGCACCAGCCACTTTTCAGCGTCTTATGGATATTGTACTAGCTGGTCTTAAATGGCAATGCTGCTTGGTGTACCTCGATGATATCATCGTCTATTCTTCAACATTTGAGCAACACCTTGAAGATCTTCGTAAAGTTTTCTTAGCTCTCGCTGATGCCAACCTGACACTCAAGACTTCGAAATGTAACTTTTGTCGACGAGAAATGAAATTCCTCGGACATCTTATTACCCCGGATGGCATTAAACCAGATCCTGGCTTGATTGCCACAATTGAACAATTCCCTCAACCAACAAATATCAAAGCAGTCCAAGCCTTCCTCGGACTTTCCGGCTACTATCGCCGTTTTATCCAAAACTATGCTAAAATCGCCGAACCTCTCCTTAAATTGTTACGATCTACTCAACCTACACGGTTTCGTTCTCCTCTCGCCTGGAATGATGATTGTACGGTAGCGTTCCACGCGTTAAAACAACGGCTCATTTCTTCTCCTATTATGCAAACACCAAACTTTTCTTACCCTTTCATTCTCGAACTCGATGCGTGTGAATATGGCATCGGATGCGTTCTCACACAGGAATACGACAATAAAAAATACGTCATAGCATATGCAAGTCGCACGCTGTCATCGGCTGAAAGAAAATATAGTGCAGTAGAACGTGAAGCTCTCGCTATCGTTTGGGCAACTAAACATTTTCGCCAATATCTCCAGGGTGGCCCAGTAATCATACGATCCGACTGCAAAGCCTTGGAATGGCTAAAAAAACGCTCGTGATCCAACTGGCCGCCTTGCACGATGGGCTATGAAACTCTCTTCGTACCACATCATTATCCAACATCGACCAGGTACACATAATCCAAATGGAGACTTTATGTCCCGATATCCACTCGACACACAAGACTTGAATTCACTTGAACTAAACTCGGTCGAGTCAAGTATTAAAATTTTAGATGGCACCAATCTTCTCAACGACATCCGTTCAGAGCAACACAAGGACCCTCGTTTATCACGCATTATTCAATCACTTGCATCACAACCTTCTCTTCCTTTCAACACGAAACACTCTCCATACATTGTTATTAACAATCTTCTCTACAAAATTCGACATTTCAATTCCTACACAGATCAACGCCTCCTTGGTAATAAATATCTCCTCGTCATCCCTCAAACAATCCAGAAAGCAATCCTTCGTTGGGCACATGATCACCCTACTGCCGGTCACGCCGGTCGTCTAAAAACTCTTTATCGTTTATCATCTCGTGTGCACTGGTCGTCAATGCGAAAAGACGTTTTCAAATACGTTCAATCTTGCTCATCATGTCAGCAATTCAAATATTCCAACTCCTCTACAGCGAACCATATGCAACTACATACCATATCTCAACCATGGCATACCATTGGTATCGATATTATGGGACCGTTTCCTCCAACTCCTAGACAAAAACGGTTCCTTTTGGTCATCGTTGATTACTTCACGCGGTGGGTCGAACTATTCGCTTTACGCCAAACTACGGCTACCAATATTGCCAATATACTCATCGACGAAGTCATCTGCCGTTATGGAGTTCCTCTTTATATCCTATCAGACAATGGTCCTCAATTTATCTCACACTTATTCAATGAAATATGCACCAATCTGGGAATTGCCCGCAAACTTACGGCCAATTATCACCCACAAACAAATATGACCGAGCGTGTAAACTGTACACTTAAAGCACAAATCGCTATTTATGCACAACGTCATCCAGGCCTATGGGATAAAGAACTTCAAAAACTCGCCTTCGCAATTCGTACTTCCGTTAACGAGACTACAGGCGACACACCTGCCTATCTCAATCTAGGTCGTGACCCAATACTACCACTGAATCCCATTATCAACCAACCTGCTCCTGACCCCCATCTATAAGTCCAGAACACAAATTCATTCAACAATATCGTACTCAATTAGCTCATGCACTTCGTGTTACTCATCATCTTGTTCGCGAACACTCGGAAATCCAGAAACTCAGCCAAAAAGCTAAATACGACCGACATACCACAAATCGCCAGTTCTTTGTAGGCGATCTTGTATGGATTGAAATCCCTACACCTCAAATCGGCAACACAACCATCACCAACAAACTACGTCCCAAGTATCAAGGCCCATGCCGTCTTAGAGAACAACTCCCCCCATCCACTTTTATTGTCACGCGTCTCAGCGACAACGTTAACCTTGGTGCAACCAATATTGATCGGATCAAACCATATTACGAACCACAAACTGAAACTGTTTCTGTTACACCCACGCCAGACACTTGCTCCCCCCTGCGACGTTACCCTTTACGGATACGTCGTCCCCCACAAACTTATTAACGAAGTTTTCGTTTTTCGTGCATAATATTGCGTTGTTTTCTCTCTCTTCTATTGATTGTTTTTTTCTAGTATTTATTAACATTGGACCTAACATAATCAACATCAGAATGA